AACGTGCTGAAGCGAGTTTTTGTTATTGGGTTCTCTATTATTGTGTTTGGTAATTACTCACTGCACCTCTTTCTATTATTAAAATGTTGACACAAAGCAGGAAATCACACAAATACGATTGAGTGAGGAGTTTTTCCTCGTCTTGCTTCCTTGCAATAGATAAGCTGATTACTGGGCTGAGTGAAGGAGAATTTTTAAGATTTTGTTTTTTCTAGAGTACAAGAATTTTGATATTTAAGAGGCAGAGAAGTAGGGAAGAGATGGAAACAAAGATTAGGTTTTGTGTATATGCTGCTTAATGAGTATGCAATGATGGCAAAATCCTTGGCAGGCAACAAAATCTCCACACAGACTGGGATAGGCACTGCAATAGCAATTGCGGGTGTGGCCATGTACTCTCTCATAAAGGCAAACATGGAGGAGCAGAAAAGAGTAAGATCTCATAACCCATTACAATGATTTTCAATATGCTTTTTATGATGGAAATTTTGAATCCAGCTTCTTCTCATACCCACACATATATATATATGTATGTATGTATACTATTTCTTAGTTGAAGGTTGACAGGCTTTCCTATGCTTTTAGTTTGGGAATCAAATAAAATCAAATAGATTAATTCTTTCCATGTTTTTCTCTTGTTGGATTATTCATTTGGCTTTCTAATGATAAAATGTTCCTTTCCCATTTCAGAAGGCTGCTCTAACTCCTGCTTCCTAGGGTTAATTAGGGGCAATAAGATAGACGCTTTTCATTTATGGTTGTTTGACATTGATATTTAATGGCATGGCATCTTCATAACCGGGATGCTATGGAACCCTAAGTGGAGGCTGTCATGATTCTTGGAAGCTTTGCCAGGTAGTGAAGAGAATAAGATCAGATGTCAATGGGCATTTCTATCCCAAATTTTTCAGTTTGGATCCTGATCTTTTAATGTATTTTATAACCTTCTTTTTAATCATTAAAGGTGGGGGTTTTTCACTCCAAAATCTTAAATTTGCGTCAATTGATTTGACTCCAAGTTTAATTGACTCAAAGTTAATCATTTTATTAGTGGCAGATTGAGGAGTCCGAAAGATAAATGCTTCAATCTTATCAAACTAATCGCCATCCATGAAATAAGAAAGAGTAACTCTGAAAATCTTATGGAAATTCATATACAAATTAATTGGCAGCTGCTGCTATATATATATATAATAAAATTATAAATATATTATTTCAGTTCAACTTAATCTAAAACTGATTTTTTATGTTTTGGAACGAAGTATAAAAAGAACATAAAGTATTCAAATAAATTTCACACAAACATTCGACTTGCATTGTTCTACACTGAAACAACTTCTTGTAAGCACAACTATGACATGAGCCATACTATACAAACCTTTCGGCCATAAAATGACCCAAAAAAAAAACTAACATAGAGAAAAGGG